TTATGTATTGGAAAACTTTTATCGACACTTACAAATGTCCTAATACATATTGTACGACACAAACGATTTTATTGAATGGACATAAATAAATGTCCTAAAATTGTTCCGAAAAATAATAAATATAATAATAATTAATTTTTTTTTCCCTACAGATATATATACCAATTATGCATTGAAACTACTTTTTAAAAAAATAACATACACCAAATCAAACATAACATCCTCAATTATCAACTGAAAAAAACTATCAACTGGATTTGGTTCAAAATGTCAATGAATACTAGTATAATCAATCCTCAAAACAAGTCAACAATATCATAGCATCATCCTGAAATATCAACTAACGAAGTTCAATACTTGAATAAGTTCACTAGCAAAAAAATGCCGACTTTAACTAATCATTCTAATAATCTATGACTACATACTTGAAAAATCTAATTTAGCTCCATCATACCTCACACTGCATCAAAAATGAAATTCATCATCCAAAGTAACCTGCGCGTATAAGAACACATATTTAATTAATAACATAAAACAAGTTATCAAATTTGTATTATGCTATAGCTCATAAAAAAAATTAATCATACTTTTCATGTTAATAAAAAACGAGCTATACTAAGAATGTGCATCATTAAGACTCAAACTTACCAATGACAATGGCCAAGCTATAGGTACTCCAAGAGCATTTCCAATTGTCTTAATATGCTTGTATGGAAAAATCAATCTTGCCTCTTTTTTTACCATGTGCTGAACGACAACCAAACAAAAATCAGTGCCAAAATTTGTCCCATTTACACTAACATTATCCATCTCGTCCACTACACCAGTTGCAACTATTTCATCAATACTCCCAAGACTTTTCAAGACAACATACGAGCAAACCTGTGCATGACACTTTTAGTACCACCAGTATGTCAAGTATAATTTAATTACTATAAGTTTCATGCTCTTATTTTATTACCTTGATTTGCATTGCACGTGAAGTTGACCCTAGTGAACGCTGATTATTTTGAAATGTTGGACTTCGAGCATCAACTTGTTCACCTGTAAATACTAGTGGGTGATATGCAGAACCATCTTGTCCATTGGAACTTGTGAGCGGCACATTTTCAAAACCAGCTTGATTTGGAGATGTAAGTGGCGTACTTTGACCATTAGGCTGCCCCGTCGATTGTGTTCCATGAACATGTGCTGAGAGATTATCTATTTTTGTGTTCAAGGTCTCGTATTTTTTCACTGCTTCCATAAATTTTGTTTTGAACCATGTTCAAGGTCTTCGTATCTTTGTTCTTCTCACTTTGTTTCTGAACCATGTACAATATTTTATTAGTATTAAACCGAAAGCAAAAACAATGAAGGAATAAAAATTATAATATAAAAATAATTCACGTACAAGAAACAATTACTTATACAGTTACCAATAAAAACTACTTATATGCGACTTCATAACTACATACTAATTAAAAGTAAGTAAAAATTTTCTATGTATATTAGTGGTATGGACTTCATACCTTTGACTTTTCAGACATCCAATATTGAACTAAAGACTTAAACTGATCTTCATTTACTCGCTCGGGAATTTCAATCTTTTGCTGCTCTATAGGAATGTCAAGATCAATACTCAAATTCTTCACAAAACTTTTCCAGTTCCTCCATTTTTTGTTTATGGATTTTAAAATATAAGTTTCATGCCCAGGAGGCAATTGAAATCTTGCCTACAAAAATACATAAAAGAATTGAGAAGATATGCAGTGATACTATTTGAAAATTATAATTTATTACCTTTACAATCCTTAACATTTCTTGTTTATACGAGTACGACATTAATCTCCAGTCTTCATAGTTAAGTGGGCAATACCTTCCGTTCCTCGCAATCGTACCCAGAAAATGTGACATCGTGCTTGTCTTATCTTGATCATTTGGTTGCCCAAGGTCATTAAATGAAACAACCACAAGTTCATTTGGTTGTTGTCCCCAAACCTTAGGCATACAAGTAGCCCCTCTTACCTTCTTCTTCTTATTGACGACTACAATAATTAATATTATAGGATCACTAAGTATAAAAAAAAATATATATGAAATTGTTGTCGGTAAAACTTTTCTTACCAATCTCATATGTATTATCAGTACAATCACCTTCATTAATCCGCACAATTTCATCTTCAGGTCATCAGTTGCATCACAAGTAGTTCTATTACAACTTGTGTTATGCTGCAAAATATTTTCTTCAATCTGAATTGAACTCGTGCCACGGTGATCTAAAATTTAATAAGGAATTTAACGCATAAATGATATGATGCACTAGTAAACTATAAAATAAAAAAAATAAAAAAATGCAATAGACCAAGTCAAGTTCAGAGCCATACTATTGTGTCGGGAGTTTAAGTTAGAATGCAAATTAGGTTGCAAAATCGTTTCATTACGCTGCAAAAGAGCTATTTCAGTCCGAACTGATTTAGCGTGAATTGAACTCAAACCACGCTGACCTGCAAACACATAAATTATATAATTGACTAGACAAAGTTATAATTAAAAATAAAGAATGAAGACCAGTCAATTTGAGGCATACAATTGTCTTGAGAGCTTAAGTTCGAAAGTTGTTCAGGCTGCTCAAACACTTCACAACTTACAAGCTTGCTACGAGGTCTAGTGTTTGGAGCCATTATCTCCACAAGCAATTAATATAAATGTTAATGTAAAAAATATTTTATGAATTATTAAATAAAGAAAATAATTACACATATCGAAGTAGCCTACTAAAATAAATACTACACATCAACAATTACACATATTGAAGTAGGCAATTTCTAATTTAATATTCACTTATGAAATAAAAATCAACACTCACCTTCAAAGAAATACTTGATGCACTGAAAGGTTCTTAATGTTATTAGCAGTAATTTCCCTGATACAAACACAAATATATAAGCAAAAAGTTAGAATTTATAAACTGAGAAAATAAAATACAAGAACTTGAGAAGGCATATACAAGATTTTCGTTATCAAATATACAATACTGCCCAAGTCTTCTAATTTTCTTATTAGTTCTCTTGCTAATAAGAACTAATAAGTCTTCTAATTTTACGGGGACAATTGAGTTGTTTGATTTTACTACACTGGTTTTTTTATTTTCAAAATTGTGCAGGAAATCAATAATTTGCAATATAGATTTCAAAAAATCTGAACCTACTGCATAAATGATCACACCTAATTAACTACAGACATGATTTCACACCATGTCTCCATTGTAGTCTTTACACCCCCAACGTTACTTCAAAAAGTGTATCTTTTACCCCCATATATCCACACCCCCACACCCAAAGCACCGACTTTTTGCCCATTGTCTTACAGTGAAGAGCACAATTCTAAGATTCTCACAGCATAACTACTTTCATAGGGTTAATTTCAATTAACCCCAATAACTAGGGCTAATTTCAATCAACCCCAATAACTCAAGGCGACAACACAAAAATCGATAGACATTCAGTAAATGCAAGCCAAACAAATTCCCATCCCAAACAAAAAACCAGAAAGAAAAAAAAATTCCGACAAGAGAAAATTCTTTTAACAGCAGAATTCATCAAAATTGATTGATAAAAAGAATGAAATAAGCGAATCAAAATAAAAAATTGAAGTGAATCAGAATGTACCTCGGCCAAGCAGGAAAACCCTTGACCCGTTATCAAACAACTCAATTGCCACCGTAAAGTTACCTAGCTCTGTTAGTCGAACCCACACAACCTGCGCAATAATTTTGTAGAAATTATTGGAGTTTAGGTCTGACAATTTGGTAGAAAAGCGGGAAAACGAAAAAAACCCCGCGTAATTTTCAGAGTTAGGTCTGATAATTTTGATGAAATAGATGTGAAATTGGACAAGATTTTGAAGAAGAGAAACGGATGAGCCGAAGAGGAGGAGAGAAGCAAAAGAAAATAATTGAAACTTAAAAGAATCCCTAAAAATAAAACTATCGGGGAATATAATATCCCCTTTTATTTTAATATATTTAATTAAAAATATCCTTTTTTATTTAAGTGTCCTAATAAATCTTATTAATGAGACACAATTTAACTAGAGTCCCGATACTCTCTTTTTGGGACATCTCAAAATAAGTATCTCAAATAAAATGTCGTAACATATATGTTTTGTTGTAGTGTATGTATCTTTGGCGAATGTAAATGAAAACATCATATTATATGACCGAGGCAGTTACTTTACGTTTGATTTTATCGTTGCAGATCCGGAGACAGTTCCAACGAATTGGATCCTAAAATTATTTCTACATTGAAGGATATTGTTGACAACTCAAATGTGCTTGCTCGGTCTTACAGAGCTGCCCGAGACAGACTCTCACAGACAGGAATGGAAGATGTCAAATTGACACTCATAAAGAAACGGAGTACGGATGGCCGTACTTACAATCTACTGAACTCCAGTGAAATCGTAGGACTCATTGTTGGTGATTTTGACACTTAGGAGGGTGTTAGACATAATTGTTGAAACACAGTCGAAAAGCTCCAGCGAATTAGTGAGTTGCACCCCCTATATCTTCCACTGCAGTATCCGCTAATATTTCCTTACGGTGAGGATGGGTATAAGGTAGATATACCATTGAGTGAAACATCAGCGAGTGGTACATGTAACAAGTTAACCATGCGACAGTACTTTGCGTACAGGATCCAGAAAAGATTTGGCGACAGCGCGGTTCTTTTGTACTCTTGTCCCAGCAATTCATGGTCGACACATTTTTAATGGTTGAATCGGAAAGACTGAAACTCATAAGATTTAACCAGGATAAGTTGAGTTGACATGTACAAGGGTATCGATGAAAGTATTTTGTTGGGAGATACAGATGCTAGATCCATTGGTACGAGGGTTATTCTACCAGGCAGTTTTACCCAAGATCCAAGATACATGTTTAACAACTTCATCGATGCTATTCAAATACACAATTGGATTGGATTTCCATCGTTGTTCATCACTACTACCTGCAATCCATAATGGCCGGAAATACAAAGGGCGTTGAACGGTACTAATTTGAGACTTGAAGACCGTCCCGGTATTCTTGCTCGAGTTTTTAAGATGTAACTCGACAGTCTGATGTTAGATTTGAAGAATGGCAAATATTTGGTCGCATTAGATCATGTAAGTATCAATTTATAAGTTAAAAATATAACATATTATACATTTTACACATTATCTACTCTTATAATAGTATAAATATACTCTTGCGTCAATCAGTGAAAAAAATTGTATACGCACAATTGAGTTTCAGAAGCGCAATTTGATGTATAAAATTTTGATGTCTGCACAATTTTGATGTCTGCACAATTGAGTTTCAGAAGCGCGATCTCCCGTATGCGCACATATTGCTTTGGCTCCACAATAAAGACAACCCGAAGACATCAAAAGACATAGATAAAATCATATGTGCCGAAATACCAGACAAGGTAACAGACTGAAAGATGCACGATTTGGTTGAGAAGTATATGATTCACGACCCGTGCGGTCTGGCGAATCAAAACTCTCCATGCATGAAGGAAGGGATTTGCATGAAGCAATTTCCAAAGAGTTTTGTCAACCGTACTGAGGCCGATGCAGATGGTTATCCGGGTGTTCAGAATAAGAGAAAATGGGAGGGCCGTGGTTAAGAAGAAAATATATCTCGACAATGGTTTCGTCGTGCCTTATAACCGTGCTCTACTGAAAAAGTACAGAGCACACATTAATGTCGAGTTGTGCAACAAGTATAAGTAGATAAAGTACTTATTCAAGTACGTCAACAAAGGACACGACTGGGTCACGGTGGCATTTTATCAATCAAATAATCGAGGTGCAACTCCGGAAAGTAGCAATGAGATAAAGATGTAATACGACTACAGATATCTTTCGGCATGCGAGGCTGCTTGGAGTTTATTTAGCTTTGACATTCACTTTAGAGACCCACCGGCGATTAGGTTAACCTTTTATCTTCTAGACAGTCAAGCAGTTGTGTTTACAGATAATAACTCATTAGTTGATGTGCTGAACAGACTAACTGCGAACCAAACGATGTTCCTTGCTTGGTTCCACGCGAATAAGTTGTACCATGAAGCTAGAAATTTGAGGTATGGAGAGTTTCCACAGAAATTTGTCAATAAGGTAAAAGCTCGCTGTTGAATGCCGATAAAGATAGGATTCTCGATAGGAAGGGTTACCATTGTACCGCCGGGCAGGGGTGAAGACTATTACTTGAGACTGTTGCTGAACTTTTAAAGAGATTGCACGTGTTACGATGATCTTAGGAAAGTCGAGGATCACGTCTACCCAACTTTCAAAGATGCATGCTTTGCGTTGGGACTGCTAGACGACGACAAGGAGTACATAGCTGGCATAAAGGAGGCAAACGAGTGGGCCAGTTGTGACTATGTGAGACGAATATTCGTCATACTTTTGGGCGCAAATAATATGAGCAGACCGGAATATGTGTGGGAGTGTTGCTGTAAGGAATTCGCCGAGGATATTGCGTACAGACTGCAACAACGTCGTACCAATTCATGTATGAAAATACATCTTACATTTTTACACAATTTACTACACATGTTTGAATTAAAAGTATATATTTTTATAATCGCCACATTATGTTAATTTTTCATATTATCTATATTGAAGGTCTATATGTGTCCGACGATACGTTGAGAAACTACGCTCTGATCGAAATAGAAAACATATTGCAAAGCAACAACAGATTGAGTAACTTTCCCCCACTGCCGATTCCAATTGGGTCGATGACGGACGCTACGGTAAATAGATTGGTTCTCGACGATTTGGACTATGACGATGATGCGATACGTGAAGAGCTTAAGAAATACCTCTCATCTATTACTGATGATCATAAAAAAGTGTTCGATGATATAATGGATGCTGTTACAAATGACAGAGGTGGACTGTTCTTTCTTTATGGACATGGAGGAACGGGAAAGACTTTCATATGGAAAACTTTATCGGCTGCTATCTGTTCAAAAGGCGATATAGTTATAAATGTTGCTTCCAGTGGTATTGTTTCGCTTTTACTTCCCGGTGGCTAAACTGCTCATTCGTGCCAATAATTGTAAATGAGAGTTCCACATGCAGCAGCATCAAACTAACAAAGTCCACATGCAGAATTGTTGTCTAAAGCAAAGCTAATCATATGGGATGAGGCACTGATGATGCACATGTATTGTTTCGAATCACTCGACAAAACAATGAAATCTATACTTGATTTCAGATATGCCATTCGGAGGCAAGGTTGTAGTTCTTGGAGGAGACTTTCGACAAATTATGTCAATTGTGTTGAAAGCATCGAGACAATACATTGGTCATGCTACAGTCAATTCATCACCGTTGTGGATACAATGTAAGATTATGAAGTTGAACAAGAAAATGAGACTTGAGTCGTCATCCACTTCCGCCAATGCAGATGAAATAAGAGAATTTGCGGACTGGATATTGATAATCGACAATGGCGATGCTGGCGAGGTAAACGATGGTGATGTCACAATTGATGACATGCTGATTCGTACTTCTGCTATCCTTTTTGGATCTTATCGAGTTTTTCTATCCCGATCAGTTGACCAACCCTTTCACTCCCGAGTATTTCGAAGGCAGAACAATTCTTGCACCCACTAATGAAAGTGTCGGTTTTGTGAACGATCATTTTTTTCGATCATAACTGGAGAGGAGAAGGTCTATTTCAGCTCCGATAGTATGTGCAAAGAGGAGTTATTATCGGATGTCAACGCAGAAATATACTCCCCGGAGTTTCTCAACACCATATCATGATCCGGAATTCCACCGCATAAGTTGACATTGAAAAAAGGTGTTCCCGGTATGCTCATCGGAAATATTGATCAGACCAGATGATTGTGCAATGGAACAAGACTTCATGTTATTAATATGAGAAAAACACGTTCTCAACTCCAAGATCCTATCCGGTAAACATGTTGGTGATATGGTGTTCATTCCTATAATGACTTTGGTACCGTCCAACTGTGCATTGCCTATTAAATTCATGCGACGTCAGTTTCTGCTGATGGTATCATTCGCAATGACAATCAATAAAAATCAAGAACAAACTCTTTCTCATGTAGGCCTGTACTTGCCGATACCTGTTTTCAGCCACGGACAGCTCTATCTCGCACTCTCGAGAGTTAAGAGTCGAAGTGGCATAAAGATTTTGATTGACTCGAAATCTGATGATACGACTAACGTTACAAATAATATTGTATACAAGGAAGTTTTTCAGCGTATAGGAAGGTAATTATATGTACAAAAAATTCACAATATTCAATGATGATCTTTATTATCTATTATTTATATGTTTTGTTATTCCTCATTTGTAGGTTTATTTTAATTGTACTACGAACTTGGTATGGACTCCACTCGCTATATTTAATGACGATATTTTTTTTTACAATGACTTTATGCCATTAAACAGTTATATTGGTATTGTTTTGGTAACAATTTACATATTTCGTATGACTATTGTACAACGTATGCATGTCAATTGCATTGTATTGAATTCGTTGCATGCGTATAGGGCGGTTGTTATTAAACAAAATAGCACTGATTGTTTGGATCAAATTCAAGATATGAACGTTCATATGTCATTGTGGTTGTTAAAATTTGAGACCAACGATATATTCGCTCTTTGTATGTGGAAATTAAAACCTTCAATTTTTAGTTTTTTCATTTATTTCGGCTTATTTCATCACTTAGACAATACAAAATACTTATCTTTTTTTTTAATATTTCTTTGTATTACATATCAACAATTAATCTTACTATTTCGAGAACATTTTTTATTGTTCAATATTTGTTTTACCATGAATACCCCGTGCATCGCACGGGTGTATTACTAGTTTATGTAAATACCATGGTAGGATGGATTCTTCCTATGAAGGAAATCTTGTATTAGGAATATGTAATTTATGGTAAATCTAGTGTTCTAATTAGACAAATTGAAGTTTGGAGAGAAGACACCAGTGCACAATGGCTATTTGGAAAATGAATATTTGAAATTTGATGGACCGGTTCAAATACTGGGTTGAAATATCCTTTTGACCCGATTAACTATTGACTCTACACATGCACACATTTCATTCTATGGACAAAAACGTACACATGCTAAAAAATATCTCGATCTTCACCGCAAAGCTGATGAACTTGTACCATTCGTTCGACTGATTTGCATATGCCGCTACAGCTCCAATCAAATGATGCTGCACAAGGGTTCCCAGCCTGTGCTTTCCACTCACAATCTTCTTGTACATAAATTAATTAATTATTTTACTACAAATTAAATTAATACGTACAAAAACCTTTGAATTATATATGTCTTACCAGGGGGTGTCCCACAACACAAGCTTCTTTCATCAATATGGTCAACATCAAGACCAATAAACCATGACCCCAGAGATACATCTTCATTTGCATATCTGTGTAGTATGTCTCTGCAAACAAACCTATATTAATTATTATATTCTTTTAACCAAACAAGGCACTAGTTTTTTCTTCAACTTTTTCAATTTCATTCACTAGTACTGTACGTACCGGTTCACAGAAATATATTTAGCCAAATCTTTGGAGATGGCATAAATTTGCCCTGTTGCATGCCTAAAATACTTATTTCCTTCCTCCCCGAATTTCCAGTACTCGGGTTCATGGTACTTCACTCCTCTGTAAAGACCACCGTAACATTGATTAACAAGTCTATTAATTTATTTTCAATTATAAATTTCTATTAATACTTGAATGAAATTTCGTCACAAGTCTCTAATTACTTGTGGCCAAGGACAGGTCCAGACTTCATGCAACCAATGTAAATACGGGGTTTTGATTGATGGCGAGACAATAACGAACTTAAAATACCTGACAAGGAACATTAATTAATTAATTAATTAATTAACCAAAGGAGCACAAAACAATTAAAAGTTGTATGAGATGCTAACCAAGATTGACATGCACATCATCGTCAACTTTAATGTACATGTCAGCATCCCACTTAGAGACAGCTGTCGAAAAGTAAATTTGAGTTTTCGATGATAATTCGTGATACCCTTCTACATGATTCTGCCAAATAAATACACGATAGAGATCACATTCAGAAGAATTGATGCAAAAATCCTACAAATTAATATAATACATGCAGAAGAGTGGAAAAAAAAGAATACCAATCGCAAGAAATCCTTGTGCTCTGCTTCTTCAGCATCAAGAGCCCTATCCAATACTCCACCAGGTGTAGCGCTGATCAAGATTCAAGAATGGACAAAATAAAATCATATATAAGCTGAATTAAAAAAAAAAAAAATTGTTAAATTTGTTAAATTACCTGTGCCCTATCACAAATCTGATAACTATTCGTTTATCCTTCTCCAGCTTCTTTAAAGCATCAGCCTGAGGCATCCATGTTTCCCTAATGGAATCCCTTCTTTTTCTGCTGCTGAAAGCAGTAATAATTCCCATGACAAAGAACACCTTTTGGGCGTTATAATTTGATGAATTGTTTCCTGATTTTGCATCCGTAGCTTTTTTCTCATTTTCAGCTTTAGCCTCTCTTGCAGCAGCAAGTTGCATTTCCAGTGAATATATTGTTTTGTCTAATGTCCTGAAAGTCGAGCTTCTTATTATATATGCCAAGTTCATTATAATAAAGATTGCTATTATTATTATTATTGGAAGTCGAGCTTCTTATTATATATGCCAAGTTCATTATAATAAAGATTGCTATTATTATTATTATTGGAAGTTGGGGGTGAAAGTTACTTGATAGCATGAGAACGTCTGTCACCATTCGCAGAAGCATCAATCTACAGGAAAGGAAACTTTACAGTTTGAGAATAAATAGAAAGCCATCTACCAGAAAAATTAAAGTAGTACGTAGATGCTACTTGCCTTTTTGTGATCACACTTGATAGCAGGATTTATATTCCCATATTTTCCAGTAGATGCTGCAATATTCTTGTCCGTGTCAACCAAATCGGGAACTGCCCACAACCTACAATAATTCATCAATAAATTTTCATATGTTGGTGGTGTTATGCCGTGCGGCCGTCTTCTCAGCTTGGTTTCATTTTTGCATGTTGAGTAGTATTAGAGATTGAATTATTGAAGGAATATACCAATAGTATATAAAAGTCTGCAGATTTGTGGCATGCTATTGACAAAGATCAAATGGCAATGAATAATTAACATTGTTTTCAACTGGGGGAAGACAAGGCAAGAAACCCCTTAATTATATCATGAACACTCGTTAATTCAAGAGACTAACATGATATAGTAGCACAAAGTGTGAATTACTAGTATTCACAAAACAACCTATTATGCAATAACCATTATACGATTTTACGACAATTACTATGTTTTTTTCTTAATTTGAAGCAATTGGGTGAGGAAGTTGATGCCGAACACCTCAGTCAGTGTTACATCTTAAGACTATATATGAAAGAACAAATGGAAAGAATCGATGGCCAAAACAATGTGAATCCTAATCATATTAGTCTACTACAACGTGTGTTTTATACTACCAACAGGTTTAACATAAAAACCAACCTCAAATCTTCTTTTAGGCCAGGTTAAATCAATAAATGAATGAATGAAATTCAAGTTGTGTAACATCACCAACTAAAGGGTATTATTTTTTTGTTAATTTTTTCTTAATTAATTAGCTTGTATGTTGGGTAATTCCGACCAATACTCTGCCTCTTCAAGCATTTTGTAGCAAGTTTTTCAAGAATGTCAGATTTCCCGTTTATATAGCAAGTGTAACTAAATGATATATAAACGACGGAAATGTCACTCCCGAGAGAGAGAGAGAGAGAGAGAGAGAGAGAGAGAGAGAGAGAGAGAGAGAGAGAACCCAGCACTAGTGAAAAAAATTAAGATGGTGTTGCTCATCCAAACAGGGGACAGAAAAACAAATTGTTGAAATGGCCATATTGTTCGCATTCAGAAAAAAAAAAAAAAAAAAAAAAAAGGGGAATCTTGAGACCATAACCCAAATATTATAATAAAAAAAAAAAAAGACAAACATTTTGCTGCTTCTTCGTCAACCCCTCCCCTCATATATGCAATTGCAAATCAAACATCAGCTAAATTAACACTTGATGGAGGATTAGACAATTTTTTTTATAAAAAAAAAAAAGAGAAGAAGAAGAAGAAGAAGAAGAAGAACCTGTTGACAACAAAAACTCCAAAGCAGAAACTGGCAATGCAGAAGAGAGAGACCAACTTCGTTGAGAAACCGCTGCTTACATTTCCACCATTATTGCCAGACCTCTGCATTCTGCTCCCAACCTTTAACCTCATTTTCCCACCCAGCCCCTAAATATCGATGAAGTTATCAGCTTTTTTAAGCTCAGCTTTAAAGTTTAATTTTTTTAAGTTTTTCTGAGAAGGAAGCTAATGGGCAATTAATTTATTCGAACCATTTTCAATTTTGAAATAAAAGAAAATTGGATTAAGAAATGGACAAGTGTTGGGAAGCAAATGCCACGAATCATGCCTCTGTGTAATTTATCAATTAAATTACTGTGACTGTGATATATCATCTGTCACGGGAAAATGGGCTAATTTGCAATTAATTCAACTATTCATTTGTTAAATGGAAAAGGACAAAACTCACAACAGCTTTCTCGGCGTGCGTGCGGTGCTGCTCTTCCTTTTTAAGTTTACGTTATTATTATACTTTGGGTAAATTCGCCTACTGTCATTCAAATTCGTATATATTTACACATTGGGTCATTTTCCTATTTTGATGCATACCTCATTTCATATTATTTTTATCTTTTACAATATATTATTATGTAAATTATCCTCCTATGAACTTAGGTCATAGTTATTATTTTAAATACAAATAAAATTTAGGGGCCTTAACTAAAATAATAAGCTTAACTAAATCTTTGCTATACATCTTCATAAA